GGGAGCGGGAGCGCCGCTGCTCGCCCCCTGGCCCGCCGCCACGTGCCTGCTCTGGCTCGGAGGCGAGGGAGACCCTCTGCTTGGAAGAGCCTCGCGGGGCGCCCGCTTCCCCGCAGAGATGCTGCCAGGGGATGTCGCCGCCCAAGCCGCGCCCGCACCGGAGCTGAGGGGCCACAGTGGGACGGTGCCCCTGCAGGGCGCCCCGGGGCTCCCCGCATCCTGCCAGCCCGCCGGGGCGGCTGCCGGCCGGGGCTCCCAGGCCTACCCGCACCGGCAGGCTGCTTTCGGTCCCGGGGAGGCTCGGGAGCCGTGGCAGGGCAGGGCAGGCTGCCCGGCCAGAACTCCCCACCGAAATCGTTCCCTGTGCCACGCGAGCAGGACTCACAGGGGCACGGCCACTGCCGCTCCTCTCGGGCACTCGTGTGTCCAGTTTGCCCGTCATTAGTGACCCCCTTAAATCCCAGGCCATTAGCCCTCAGCACTGCCAAGGAGCTAATGGCGTCCAGCTGGAAGCGGTGTTCAGGCGGGGAGGAGCTGGGCCCAGCAGGGGCTTGCGATCCCAAGCGGCTCTCCCAGGGGCCCGGGACAGCCCTTGGCCCAGCTGGCCGTGGGGAGGGGCTGCCTTGCCCAAATAGCTCGAAGGTGCCAGCCGAAGACCGCTCCCCGTGGTCTCCCGGCGAGAGAGAGCTGCAGGGTCCCCAGCCCCGCAGGGAGCTGTGCTCTATAGCCCCACATGTGCAGGACCGTATTCCTGGGCCCTTCGGCGCTGCATGGAGCCCGTGCTGAGCCCGCCTGCAGAAGGGGCATGGACGAGGCCCCGCGCGAAGGGATGTCGCAAGCGCAGTCCCCGCAGGAGGGGCCGCTCGCCCTGGCAGAGGGGCAGTGGCGGCAAGGAACCCGCAGCCCCGATGGTCAACCCACAGCCCATCTTTTCTCCGTTTCGCTCATTCTTGTTTAATTTCAGCGAGCAGAACGCAGCCAGCGTGGAACGTCCAGGGACGCACCCGCCTCTCCCCGTGTGCTCCCTGCCCTCGTTCGTTTTCGGGAAGGTCCCTGGGGACGTGTGCTCCTGGGGGCAGCAGTGGCCGGAGGGAAATGGCGGAGGGGCAGGGGAGCAGCAGGGGTGCCTGGGCAGAGGGTGGCCGGTGCGATGGCGAAAGGTGTGGGCTGGGGCAGTGCTGCCCACCCCTCCCCGAAAGCCTGGCAGGGATCCTTCCGGTGCCATCAGATGCTTCGGGCAGCTGAGCCCCGGCTCGGGCTCCTGCGCCCGCAACAGCTGGAGGGAGCCCAGACCCTTGGGCTGCAGTCGCAGGAGAGAGTGGGCGGTCTCACGGGCTGTTGGACACTTGAGCCTCGCCGGAGAAGCCGGCTCCCGAGGACGCCCCTGGGCGGTGGACACCCGGCACCAGGGAAGGGGCTCTGGGGTCTTCTCCCGGCTGTGGAGATGGAGCTCAGGCAGGAGGATGAGGCGTGTGCCAGGGAGCCGGGGCCATCTGGGGGAGGCGACTGGGGGGCAGGCCGCCTGGCCCCCCCATTCCTCTTTGCTCCTGCTGGCTCCAGAGACGCTTCTGGGCACTTGGGGGTCCCCAGAGGTGGCCAGCGGGCCCCCTGCCCATGCATGTCCTCTGCAAGCCAAGCGGGGAAGGCCCGGCTCCTCCCGCGCAGGCCGAAGTGTTCCCTCCTGGCCGCTCTGGCAGGTGTGGGGCAGAGGCGGGGCTGGCCTGCTCACCCCCTCCCAGGGCAAACAGATGTGTTTGCCCTTCCCCTCTGCACCGGAGTGTCAGGGGAAGCTCCTTGGAAGTGCCCAGCTCACGGGGGGCTGCTGCTCCTGCGCAGCGTTTGAACCTGCTTAGCTGCTCTGTGTGCTTTTTTCCGCGGGGGGCAAGTCATATTTGCAGAGCTGCCTCTGCCGACTCCTTGAAAAGGGCCCGGCGGTGGAGGGGCCGTCCGGGTGGCCCTCCCCCTCCCCTCCCCTCCCACCTTCCCCTTTTCTCCGGAGCCTTCCAGGTGGCTCTTTAGGACCTCAACAGGACCCTCTGTTTTACAAGCCGGGCCTTTCATCTCCATTCGGGTTGCCCCAGGAGCACATGCGACGTGAGCACCCCCCACTCAAGGCAGAACTGTGCCGGGGGGCCAGACTTCCCTCTGTGGGTGGCCAGCTTGCCTTTCGTGGCCTCCCGCAGCGCTTGTGGGCCAACGGAGCGGTGGAACCACGGCCTTTTGCTGCGGGGCTGCCTGCCGTCGCTTGGGGCTGCGGCACTCCAGAGAACACGTGGCCACTGTGCAGCGGCCCCGGGGCCGGCTCCCCGCTCTTCGGCTCAGGCTGCCACACGAGCCCTGGGAAGGCCCGGCTGGCCCGCAGGGATGCCTCCGGCCTCGCCGAGCCCTGGGCCTCCTCCCCCGAGGCCTCCCGATTCGCACACTGCCGAAAGTACTTGAATTCCTTGATGCCCTCGAAATGCTGCCTGCGACACGTTTGCAGAGCAGCTCATGCAGTAAAGCTGGTTAAAAGCAGGAGTGGTGCTAAACATGCTTTTCAAAGCCTCAGGAAATTAAATCGCCAAACCGCCCCCGGAAAGCTCACTATAATCACTGCTTTCTGCATCACAGGCAGCACGTGCAGGGCTCGCCTGTCTGCCCCCCTCTGTGGCACTCGGGAGGGGTTCCGTGCCCTGCTCCCCTCACCAGCTGGCCGAGAGCCGGGCTCTGGCGCCAGGGGACTGCGGGCCCACCCACTCGCACCGCAGCACCCGGCAAGCCGCTGCACCATCTGACGGGCAGGCAGGGTACTGGCACCCCCGAGTCGCCCCCCGCCGTGCTCGGCAGGGGCAGCTCGGCGCAGCTCCCTCGCTCCTGGCCCTGCAGCAGTGGCCCAGCTGTGCCCCCAGTGAGGCGTGGGTAGCCTGGCCTCAGTGGGGCGTGCTCTGATGACCCCCTAATTAGATCACTGCAGCATGCTCTCCGTGGGGCTGCCCTTGAAGACTGTTTGGAGGCTGCCACTCATGCAAACACAGCAGCCGGACTAATAACCGGGACCAGGAGCTCCAGCCGGAAGGGACCAGTCCCGACGCACCCGCACTGGCTGCCCGAATGCTTCCGGGCCCCTGCGAGGTCCTGCTTGGACCCACGGAGGGACCCCATCCTGTGGCCGACCCCGCCATCTTTTCGGTGCCGGCCGAGGCAGCCGTCGTGCAGAGGCTTTTCAGGATGCGTTCGGACCCCCAGGGGCTGGAGGGGGCTGCCCATCCCAGGGCGCTCACGGGGCCGCTCTCCCCTGAGTGCTGTTTCAGCTGTTTGCTTTGTTTTAAAATGTTTGCACTTTTGAAAAGCTGTTCTGGTATTTGTTTGTTTTGTAAGCCACCCAGAGAGCTCCAGCTGTTGGGCAGCAAAGGGGTGCTGCTGTGATGCTGATGATAAAAGGGGGTCCCCTCAGGTGGCAGATGCTGGGCAGGGGCAGCAGGGGGTGAGAGGAGAGGGCTGTTGGCCCTGCCACCTGCCCCATGGTGCTGCTGCGGGGTGGCGAGGGAGTTCTCCCACCAGCCACATGGAAGACAGACCCTCCTGCCAGTTCAGGAACCGGAGAGCGGCGCCATCCGGTTCTCGACCCGGGACACGCTTGGTCCTGCCCTGCCCCAACCACCGGGAATGGGGGGCGCCAGCTTCACGTGCCGCAGGCCTCAGCTGCTCTGGAGGAAGAGACAGGCAGCCCTCTTGCCTCTACCACGGGGGCAGCCCGGTCCCCCCAGGCAGGAGGGTGGAGGGCGCACCACAGAAGCCCCTCGCCCTGCTGGCTGCCCAGCTGGGCCTGGATGCATGTCCCGCCGCTCTGCCCGCTCGCTCCGGGCCCGGGCCCTGGCCCTGTGGAACGCACCCGCAGCCAGGCGGGGATCCATGCTGGCTTCTCCCCACCACTGCCCTGCCCTGCCCTGCCCTGCCCTGCCCTGGCCTTGCAGGTGTTCTGGGCTCGGTCCCTCGGGTCCCATTTCCTTGGCCGTAAACTGGAGCCCGTTCTGAGCACGGCGTGCTTCGTCTCGCGCCCACCCCTGCTG